CGATTTTTAACGAAGTTATAATTTTTTTTTTTGGAAATAAATAAAAAAAATTACATAACTTCTATTTCTACACCACAATTTTTGTTTACAAAAATCTCAGTTATTTCTTTTCAAAAAAAAAGGAAATAAATTTGTAGCGTTTATATTTCTCTGACAGAATGTTTTAACAAAACTTCAATTTTTTTTAGAAGTAAGTAAAAAAATTGGAAATAATTTCTATAATTCTTAATTAGAAGTTTTTAACAAAATCTCAAGTATTTTTTTAAAGAGTTGAAAAATTAGTTTAATTTCTATTTTTTAATCACGATTTTTAACAAAATTCTATTTCCTTTAAATAAATGAAAAAAATTGCAACAATTATAACCATAATTTTTGTGAAAAATTTATTTTTTTTTAGAAAAATATTAAAAATATTTCTCGTGATTGCACTTGTGCCACGGTTTTTATTAATTTTTTTATACAAGTAGCCACTTTGAATATATTATTATATTTATTATAAATTTCTGTTTTTTGATTTATGTTAAATAAATACTTGAAAAGAATTTAAATTTTATTTTATTTCATAAAGAAAATGATAATTGTTAATAGAGATTATTGTTAAATATTTATTGACATAGTTAGAAATTACACAAGCGCGTTATTTTACACAGTATAATAGAAAGTAAATATAAAATTATAAAAATGTTATAAAAGAATTTCATTAATTTGATGCGAGAGAAAATTTTTTTCGATCCTGTAGAAAATATTAAAAGTAGAGTAAAACACTTTAATAAGTTATAAATAAAAAAAAAACAAGGGAAAAGGAAAAGAAGATTTTTTTTCCTTCTTTTTTTCTGTTTTTGAAATGGATAAAGAGTTTTTAAAATGTTTACTTCACTTTGAGATCAAGAAAACTTTACATTTACAAAAGAAAACTTCTGAAAGTACGATAAAACAGGAGAAAGAAACTGATAGTAAATCTTTAAAGATTTATCTTTTTCTTTAACTGAATCGAAACCTAGTTCTTTAAAAGTTTTGAGATCCACTTTCAAATGCAGTTTCTATACAATACTTAACTTCAATTCAAGAAATTAAATCAAACAAATTTATTTTAGATATTAGATAAGTTTCTATTTGAGATTGAAACTTGATAAATCAACTAAATTGAGCTTTTGTTACAAATAGAATGCTTCATTTGATGTTCATCTACCACGAATAATATTCCTCTCTAATTCTGAATCAGTGAAAAGGGCATTATAATTGAAATTAGTTGAAAATTTTTAAGTTTCAAATTTTAATTTTAATTCTTAATTATTTTAATTTCATTAAAAGTAAAATTTAATACAAAAAGTTTACTTATAAAACAGGAAAAAATGTAAAAAGTAAAGTAAAAAAAAAAAACTTTTTACTAATTTTAATTTGTGGACAAGTTTTAATTAATTAATTTTAATTTATAAATAATTTTCTAAAAACTTTCTTGAAGTTTTTTAGAAGCTTTTTAAAGTTTTAAATTTTATTATCAATTTTCTTTTATTTAATCACAATTTTTTTCGTTTTAATAATTTATTATTAATTGTTTTACTCATCACTTTGTAATTTTCCTACACAATTACCAATATTGAAACAAAAAAGACATTTTCCAATAGAATAAAAAAATTAAAAATACATACCTCGTTAAAATTGTCAATTGCATGAGACATAAAAATTTTTCAACTCTCTATAGCTTATGAATACTGAAAATGGAAACATTGGTGGATAATTTGAAATTAATTAAACAGCACAAAGAGTATGAATGTTCCATTTTATATAGAATTAGTTGGCTCTTTGTGACTCAAAGGGATCAGTAAAATCCTTCACACAGATATATAATTCAACTTTCAACAAATCCTAGTCGTTCATTTAAACTTCAGCTTTATCATTCTGTATAAGAACAAAGTGTATTTTTATTGGGACAAAGAAAACAAGGATTTGTAATTTTAAGAGCCACTGTTTTCAAACTACCTGAATAAATAATGTAGAAGACTTTCGATTAATTTCATCCTAAAAAGAGGAAAAAATATCTTTAAATATTTTAATTGTCGATTGTAACTAAATTTACTATCAGTAATTTTTTTATATTTTATATTTTGCTTGATTATTGAAATTGAGTTATTAAAATAAGTTAATTTTTCAGAATTTTCCTTATCTATACAAATTAATTATAATTTTATTTTTTATTTTTAATTATTTACAATTGAGTTATTAAAATAATTGAATTATTGAAAATTTACTTGTTTAAATTAATTAATTTTCAAATTTTAATTATAAAGTTTCAAGTGATTAGAATTGATTAATTAAAATTAGCTAATTAATTAGTAATAAGTTATTAGAATCAGTTAATTATTCAGAACTAGCATATTTACACGCGCGCTTGAATATTTACTCCCCATTGTTAATTACAAAAACTTTCTTTTTTCAAATTTATTAAAAATTTATTATTTTTTTTTTTGAAAAATATAATTTTTTGAAATATAATCGTTCAAAAATACGTTTATATTTTTGATCAATTTTCAAAAGTAATATAATTAAATTCTTTTTATCTTCAAAAAAATATTAATTACAATTTTTCAAAAACCTAATTTTATTAGAATTTCTACCTTCAATTATTTAAAACTTCAATAATGTTTGTTAAACAAATATTTAAAAACTTATTGCTATTTATTTTAATTTAAATTTTAAATAATTGCAATGTAAAACATTTTGAAGTTATATCTGAAAACTGTAAATGCAATTTCTCTAAAAGTCAATTATTTTACTCAAAAATTTAATAATTTTTAAAGAAAAATATACATATTCATAATTTTTTAAAATAAACTTTTAAATATTATTATACTTTTACAGCGTTTAGAATGTTAAAAAGATTTCAATTTAAAACAATTTTTATATATAATTATTTTTCTTAGAATTCTTGTTGTATATTCGATTATTTTTCAAAATTTTTATTGAAATTCTGTTTTAAATCAATTCTTACTAGAATTCAACAATAATTGAAATATTTAAATACAAAATTTTTTGTAAAATTTAATTATTTTCCAAAACTTTAATTACAATTCTTCAAAAAATACAATAATATTTAAAAATACTTTTTTAAAGTGTAAAAATAAAATTCTATGAAATATAAAATGTATTTTTATAATATTAGTGAAAATTTCCTTTTATTTCAATTTTTAAAAATTATTTTCGTGAATTCAAACCATATTTGAAAATTTTAATTACGATTTTTTAAAAACCTTATTTTATTAGAATTTCTACCTTTAATTATTTATTTATTTATTTATTTATTTTTATATTTATTTATTTATGTATGTATTTTATTATCTAAAACTTCAATAATGTTTGTTAAACAAATATTTAAAAACTTATTGCTATTTATTTTAATTGAAATTTCAAATAATTGCAATGTTAAACCTTTTGAAATTTCGTTATTTCTAAAAACTGCATGTGCAATTTTTCCAAAACTCAATTATTTTTAAGAATTTTTTAATACAATTACTCAGAAAGTGTTAAAATGTTAAAAATATTTCAATTTAAAAAAATTTTTGTAAATTTATTATTTCTTAGAATTCTTGTTGTATAGGTATTCAACTATTTTTCAAAATTTTAACTGAAATTCTGTTTTAAATCAATTCTTATTAGAATTCAACGATAATTGAAATATTTAAATACAAAATTTTTTGTAAAATTTAATTATTTTCCAAAACTTTAATTACAATTCTTCAAAAAATACAATAATATTTAAAAATAATTTTGTAAAAAGTGTTAAAATAAAATTCTATGAAATATAAAATTCATTTTTATATCTAATATTAGAGAAAATTTCCTATTTTTTTAATTTTTGATAAAAATATTTTCGTGAATTCAACAATATTTAAAAAAAATTTAATTTCAGTTTTTTATAGATACCTCATTTTTTCAGAATTTCTAAATAAAATTTTTCAAATTTCACTAATTTTTGTTTAATAAATATTTGAATACTTCTGGGTTATTTAATTTGTCCACCAGGAATTAAAATTTCAACATACTTTCAATGTAAAACCTTTTGAAATTTAATTATTTCTAAAAAATTAAAACTGAAATTTGTCCAATTCTTTAAATATTTTTTTTAAATTTTGAACTGAAATTCTTTTTCAAATTAATTCTTATAAAGAAATTGTACGAGAATTCTATTATTTAAATAGTACTTATTTAAATTAATTAATTTTCTATTTAAAAGTTTCAAGTTATTTAAATTAATTTATTATAAAATTGTCTAATTAATTAGCATTAAGTTATTAGATTTAGTAAATTATTTAGAATTGAACTCTCTAAATTTGAATCAGTAAAAATGTTTACTACTTACTTTGAATTAGTAACTGACTTTTTGCTTTTGAAATTAGTGGAAATTACTATTTAGTAGTAAAATTAATTAGTAATTAGTAAATTTCAGTAATAAATTAGTGGAAATTACTATTTAGGAGTAAAATTAATAAGTAAATTTTACTAATAAATTTTACTAATTTTACTAATTAGTGGAAGGAAGTTACTATTTAGTAGTAAAATTAATTAGTAAATTAGTAAATTTTACTAATAAATTAGTGTAAATTACTATTTAGTATTAAAATTAATTGGTAAGTTAGTAAATTAGTAAATTTTACTAATAAATTAGTGGAAGTTACTATTTAGTAGTAAAATTAATTAGTAAATTAGTAAATTATACTAAAAAATAATAAAAAATAGTTATTTATACTAATTTATTAGTAAAATTTACTAATTCCATGGAAAAAAGTCACTAATTCAAATTAGTAAACAGTTTTACTAAATCAAATTTAGAATATTTTTACCGAATCAAATTTAGAATATTTTTAATTGGAATCGAATTAGTTAAAATTAGTTAGAGTCGAGTTAGTATAAAAATGAGTTATTTCTTTATAATTTTCTATTGAAAATAAATAATTTTCCATTTTCCGTTTTTAAGGCATTAATGAAATTGAATTAACTTGCAGGTGGAGTGGTCAGAACAATTTGTGTTCAACGTTCACGCTCGATCGGTTTATCCATGCGATTCGGGTTCAGGTGGTGTCTCAGTTCTTTTCGAATATCCGTCTTGCAGATTACCTGAGGATCGCGTGAGAGTGTACGGCCGCCTGAGGGCAGACGTCGCGTCGCTTGCACCACCTTCATCCCTTCATTATGTTGCAGAATTGAAAGCGCCTCCAGGAAAACATACACTGACCTTCGACTGTGACATTTTCACCGAGAGATTCGTCGAGTATTGCTTCGTCTATGTTAGTCAGGCAATTACTGGTGCCATGGCCGAGGTTAGAGTCGGTTGCATTCCCACATTTCCACTCGAAGGTAAGTTTTTTAAAAAAGATTAAGTATTATTTAATTTCACTCTATTACTGATTCACTGTATTTAATTGCTGACTAAAAATGTCTATTACTACTTCTAAATAAAATTATTCTAAATAAAATATTAGTCTGAATCAAACTGTCTTTTACTACTAAAAATAATACAGCTGATATTTTCATTTTTTTCTCCAACATTAACAGTACTTTTAAGTCTTTTAACTTCTCTTTATTTTTTTTTAGTTTTTTTACTAAATTTATTTTATTACTTACTGTTTTATTACTTTTATTACTTACAAGCGTGTTTAGTCTGACTAAAAATGTCTTTCTACTTAGGAGAGAATATTAGTCTGACTGCAACTGCCTTTTACTACTAAAAATAAAATGACTAATGTTTTAATTCATTTGTTTTGCTGAAACAATATTTCCCACTACTATTTTGAAAACATTTGCTTTGTCTGACTAAAGCAAGGTTTTACTACTGAAAGTGAATTTAAATTAACTTAATTAATTAATTATTATTATTTAATTTGACTCCACTTATGATTAACTACATTTAGTTGCTATTTTGACACTTTCATTTCATAATTTTTCAATAATATTATATATTTTCAATTTCGTTGTATTTACCATAAAAAATTTTCATGTCTGACTTAAACCGTGTTTTTCTACTTATTTTTTTACATTTAACTGCTAATTCGTCTCTTTTTGTTTTATTAATTTTATTTTATATTCTAATTTTGAATTATATTGTATTTTAAATAACAAATTTTCTTGTCTGACGCAAACTGTGTTTTACTACTGATTTACTAAATTAAATTAAATTATTTCACTAAATTTACTTAACTTTAGTATTTTGCATCAGTTGTTTTGTATGTTTCTTTTATTATTTTCATTTTTCATTGGCTATTTTGATTTTTATTGTATTTTAGTTTATAAAAGAATTTAAAAAATATCGGATGCCTGACTTAATCAGTGTTTTACCACTGATTTACTGCATTTAACTGCTAATTGGTCTATTTTTGTTTCATTATTTTTATTTTACATTATTTATTCTGAATCTCATTGTATTTTAAATTATAAATTCTTTTGTCTGACTTAAACAGTGTTTTACTACTAATTAACTACCTTTAACTGCTAATTCGTCTATTTTATTTTATTTCACCAATTTTCATAATTTAATTTGAATTACATTATATCTTACATTCTAAATTTCCTTGTCTGACTTAAACAGTGTTTTACTACTGATTTACTACTCATAACTACTAATTTGCCTCTTTTTGTTTTATTAACTTTATTTTCATTCCTAACGATGAATTATATTGTTAGGAAAATTATATTGTTAGGAAAAAATTAGAAATTTTTTTGTCTGACGTAAACAGTGTTTTACTACTGATTTACTACATTTAACAGCTAATTAGTCTATTTTTTATTATTTATATTTTATATTGTTTATTATGAATTTCATTGTATTTTAAATTATAAATTCTTTTGTCTGACTTAAACAGCTTTTTACTACTGATTTACTAAATTTATATTTCATTTTATTTAATTTTATAATTTAACAGCTGCTTTGTCTCTTTATTTTATTATTGTTAATATTTTTCATTATTTACTTTGATTTCTATTATATTTTAATTTAAACTAGCAAAAACTGACGCGCGCGAGCGCGCGTGCATTTTTTTTTCAACGTTTTATTTTAAATAATTAAAACTTTATTTTTTCAGCGAATTTGAACCATTATGATGTCACAATTTTTTAGCAAATGCTGTGAACAAATTGTGACGTCATTATGGTTCAAATGCCATTAAAGAAATTATTTCATCTTCTATTAATTAATATATTTTTGCATTTTCTTTTTTTATATAAATAAATTAAAATTTTTATTTATTAATTGAAAATATCTGTTCGCAGTTTATATTTTTTTTTTTGTTTAATATTTTAATAATTTTATGTTTTAATATATATATAAATATATTTTTTCTATTAAAATAGCAATTCTTTAAAATGATTATTATTATTTTTAAGGGTATTTTAATTATTATTATGACGTTATAATGTTTTAAATAAATTTAAAAAATGGAAATGCTGGAAAGAATGAAAAATACATTTTTTTTAGAAATATAAAATTATTCAATTAACATCTTCTATCTTTATATCTTCTCTCTATATTAATATCTTCTTCTTCTTCTATCTTCTTTGATTTAGTTGTAATTTACTTTTTTGTTTCCTATCTTCTTTAATAATTTTATGTTTCAATATTTTTAATTTTAATTAAAATTAATATATTGAATTTCATTTAAATTCTTGCAAAAAATTTGAGAATCATTGAATTTCTTCAAAAAATGTCATTATTTATGAAAATAATTCAATTTTCGCTAAAAATCATTAAATCAATTTTGGAAACCCTAATTAAATTTTTCTGAAGAATTATTTTTTATTTTTTGTTTAATAATTGTGTTTCTTTAATAATTTTAATTGGATATTTTTAAAGTAATTTAAATTTATGAACAATTTTTTTCAAGTTTTTAAAACTAATTTTTAAATTTGTAAATTTAGTTGAAACATCTATTGTTTACATTTATCCCTTGTTTACAATTACCCCAAATGGCCCTAATTGTAAATTGATTGTTTTGTTGATTTTTGAATTTTATTTCGGAATAATTCAATTTTTTATTATGTATTTTTCATGATTTGAAGACTTTATATGGGTGATTCTCCTGAAAGTGGGTAATTTCATGTCTTTCAATTATATCTTCTAAACATCTTAACATTTAAATATTAACATTGGCCAAAAATATTATTTAAACATCATTTATTATACCCTTTATGAAAAACGATAATTTTTTAACACAAATTGAGTGGAAAACAACATTTAACAGTTGGAAAACAGCAATTCAATATGTCCTTACCTCTGAGTACCAAACTTTAAAGTACTATTACTTATAAAAAAGAACTATCTTCAATTATTCAATAAATATTGTGAAAGATTAACTCAAAAGGTTCAATTTTTATCGATGAAATTTTTTAATACATCAATATAGTTATTGATAATTATTAAAATATAAGTGTCTTTAAAAATCTCCATGCTGGCACGACAAAGGATAAACGTGTATAAATAAACTATAAGACGTGCACTTTTTATATCAAAATTAATTGGAAATTAAAGAAAAAACATGTCACTTTTCAAATCTCCAAGAGAAATTGGAAAATAAATTATATTTTTCATATTTTTAAGAAAAAACACTAGAAAAACACTGCGTATTTTTATTCATTCCTTTGTCGTGCGCTGTCATAACTTTAATATTTCAATATAAATATCAATAAAAAATGGATGAAAACTTACAGATTGGTAGGACAAAAGTGTATACCTAGCCATTTTTTTATTTTATTTTGTTTAAAATATGTACGAATGGATTTTGTACGAATTTCCTTTGTCGTGGAGTCCTTTGTCGTGTCAAACCATTTGCACGTGGCAGGTGCGAAACAAGTAAAAAGTGTGCCCGTGCCTAAAAGTTTTTTTAAAATAGGTAATAAAGTTGAAATTTTTCTAATCTTTTTATATATTTTTAAATATAATTTTAAAAATGATAAAAATAAATCAGTTAATTCAATTAATAATATCTATATAGAAAAAATATGAGTTTCAGTGCCCCTTGATGATACGTCTCTGATGAGGTTAGTTTTCCTGTTTACTTTTGACATCTCATTTCAATTACGCGAAAAGTGCTAATTACACGAAAACTAATGTTTATTAATAAATGTAATTTAAAATAAATATAGTTGATATGGATTGTCTAAAATAAAAGAATAATTAAACAAACAGAAAAAAGTAAATGTCGAAAAAGAGCGACGTGAAAAAAATTCGAAATGAGCCTGTAGAAATTTAAATAATTTTAATATTTTTAGTGTTTAAATAGTTTTGTAGCATAACTACTTTAAATATAGTTTATTTAAATGCCAATGAATAGTAATTAATAAAAGAAAATTCAATTTTTAAAAATTTAAAAAAAAATTTCTATCAACTTAAAAGTGACCGCTTTTTGGAGAATCACCCATATAGTCTTTAAAAGACTTGATAGTATTTAAATAGTTGAAATGAAAGGCGGTGCCTAAAGTATTTTTTTTAAGTTCATTATTTTTTTTTCTTTTTAGAAAATCTATTTTCTATAATATTGTGTTAAAAAAAACGTTAACATTTTATATTTTATTTGAACAGAAGATAACGATAAGTTTAATTCTTGCAAAAGAAAGCACTTATAAGTTAATTCTACACACAAACACACACAGAAATACGTTTATTTTTTACGTAAGTGCCAATAAATTAATTTCAATTTTTTATTTAAAATGAAATAATTTAATTTTGAATTAATTGTATTTTTGATATTTGAATAATTAATTATTATTTTGAACAATTACATTTTTCAATGATTTCAAAATAATTAAATTTTTATTAAAAACAGAATAATTTATTTTTGAATTAATTAAAATTGTTTCATTTATTTTTGAATAATTAATAATTGACTTTTGAATTATTTAAAATTCAAATATTGTAAAAAATTAATAAAATATTTAAAAAAAACAATTTATTTTTAACATAATAAAAAAAGTAATTTATTAAAATACTAAATTCAAATAGATTTTGAATTGCAATTATTTTTAAAAATAAATAAATTTTTTGTGTAAAATCATTTTTTTAAAATTAATTAAAATTTGAAACAATTGAATTTTTTTTTTCATTTTTGAAAAATTAATTATTTCGAACAATTTTTTAAACATAAAAGAACCAGGAGCTATTATCACTCATAATAGCAATCAAAAAAAGCACACACTAAAGGGATCGCTCTTCCCAAAAAATTTAGACTCGCCCGAGTCGAAATTTAAGCCCTACTTTCACCCTGAATTTTCAGGGTCTATTGAGTGTTAGGAGTAGTAAAGTAGGGTCTAATTCTAATACAATTAGACCCTACTTTGACTCCCAAAATAGGCGGAAATTTGCTAATCTT